TATTAATTTGACGGGGAGAATGTACGGGGTACACCGTTATTTCAAATAACAAGTGCGTATCTTTAAATTACAATCATCCCGTTACGGTCTGGTATCGTACTTGGAATTTACAGTGAGTGCCGTAAGGATTCCGTACTTAGCCTACGGAATTTCTAAGTGTTGTATAGACGTCGAGTCATGAGTCATGAGAGAGAGAGAGAGAGAGAGAGACGTTATATCTGACCTCCCTTTTAAGTCATAACGAAGTTCACGGCACGTGTGTTCTAGTAATTACAGCAGCGACTTTTGCTGTTTGGCAATGTAAGCAATCGCCTGACAGGTATGCAACTCACTATGCATAACCCCTGTATGTAGGTAACGCCTTCTCGAGTCGGCACCGTTACCTCTAAACAAAGTACCTCTAAAACTTCCATTACCTCTAAAGTCAATTACCTCTAAAAAAGGTGGTGTCGAGTACCTCTAAAATTTTTACCTCTAAACAATTTACCTCTAAAATTGTATTTATTGTGTCAGGACACCGAGCGAAGCGGAAAAACGCAAACAGAGCATACGACAATGTACCAGAGGTGGCTCTTGCAGTCATACATTACCGAACGTTTGGTTTGCGTACCCCTGGGGGCCGTAGCGCCCTACGTGCGGTGCAGGTAGGCAACCCGCACGCACGCCTGCGTGCGGTACAGCATAACCACGATGACTGGCGGGTTTGCCTACCCCAGGGGGCCGTAGCGCCCCACGGGTAGCGCAGATAGGCAACCCGCATGCACGCCCGCGTGCGGTACAGCAGAACCACGATGACTGGCGGGCTTGCCTACCCCAGGGGGCCGTAGCGCCTTACGTGCGGTGCAGGTAGGCAACCCGCACGCACGCCTGCATGCGGTACAGTCAGGATTCGTTCGAAGTAACAAAAGGCTCTCGGGGGCCTAGTGGAGACAATCGAGCGCGAGCATTCAGGGGAAGCTCCCTTCTCTGCGACTGACTGCGGCTCCTCTCTCACTTTGCTCGAAGGCCCAGCTCTCTCCCAAAGCTGAGGCTCTGTTCGAGCAACATGCACTCGACGCGAATGCAAGAGGTGAGCTGTCCGTGGCTTTCGGTGAACCTACTGGGTCGCTACGTGAGTTTAGAACCCCTGCCCCAGCAGTAGCTTCCATGCGTTCGTTCAAAGCCCATTAGGAAGATATCCACTTAGCGCGACTTGCGACTTTCCCAGTACCGCAAGTCTATACATCGAGGATTTTTAGAGGTAAAGTACCTCTAAAAAAATATTGTCAGGACGAACCGGGAGTACGCGACCAGGGGTGCGTTGGACAATGCGTCAACAGGGGCATAACAATGCCCATAAAGCTGCTCTGTAGTTACACCACACCACACGCTGGGTTTTCCAAACGACACATAGCGCCTTACGGGCACTGCGGGTAGGCAACCCGCTCGCACGCCTGCGTGCGGTACAGCATCACCACGATGACTGGCGGGTCTGCCTACCCCAGGGGGCCGTAGCGCCTTACGTGCGGTACAGGTAGGAAACCCACTCGCACGCCTGCATGCAGTACGTTATGAATACGGGACGGGCCAGGATTCATCCAAAGTAACGAAAAGGCTCTCGGGAGCCTAGTTTAGACAATCAACGCGCGAGTATTCCCTCCTCTCTCTGCCGCCGACTTTAGTCAAGGAATCAATAAAACACACGCTGTTGCACAATTCACATGCCTTACGCTGTCAAGCCGCGACAATTTTTGGAGCCTAGTAAATGCAGCGGTCTTGGAAAAGCAGTAGTTCTTGTGCCTTGCCCATTTACCGTTGAAGGATCCTGCCGAGACGTTAGCACGAGGTGCGAACGCGCGAGATCCGCCCTAAGTCTTACTAAAACACGCGTTCCCTTCCTCAATCGGCCGTGCGTCCGATGTGCGCGAGTAGAGAAGTATGTATCCGGATCCATTTCTCCGTACCGTAGTTACCGATGTTCTGCACGCAGGCGTAGGGTAGGCAAACAGGCCAGTCGTCGTAGTGATGCTGCACGGCATGCAGGCGTGCGAGCGGGTTGCCTACCCGCAGTGCTCGTAAGGAGCTATATGGGTCGTTTGGAAAACCCAGCGTGCGGGGTGGTGTAACTACAGAGCAGCTTCATGGGCATTGTTTTGCCCCTGCTGACACATTGTCCAACGCACTAATGCTCACGTACTCCCAGGTCCTTTCTGACAATATTCTTTTAGAGGTACTTTACCTCTAAAAATCCTCGATGTATAGACTTGCGGTACTGGGATAGTCGCAAGTCGCGCTAAGTGGATATCTTCCTAATGGGCTTTGAACGAACGCATGGAAGCAGCTTCCATTGGAAGCTACTGCTGGGGCAGGGGTTCTAAACTCACGTAGCGACCCAGTAGGTTCACCGTAAAAAGCCACCGACCGCGCACCTCTTGCATTCGCGTCGAGTGCATGTTGCTCGAACAGAGCCTCAGCTTTGGGAGAGAGCTAGGCCTTCGAGCAAAGTGAGAGAGGAGCCGCAGTCAGTCGCAGAGAAGGGAGCTTCCCCTGAATGCTCGCGCTCGATTGTCTCCACTAGGCCCCCGAGAGCCTTTCGTTACTTCGAACGAATCCTGACTGTACAGCACGCGGGCGTGCATGCGGGTTGCCTATCTGCGCTACCCGTAGGGCGCTACGGCCCCCTGGGGTAGGCAAACCCGCCAGTCATCGTGGTTATGGTGTACCGCATGCAGGCATGCGTGCGGGTTGCCTACCTGCACCGCACGTAAGGCGCTACGGCCCCCTGGGGTAGGCAAGCCCGCCAGTCATCGTGGTTCTGCTGTACCGAACGCGGGCGTGCATGCGGGTTGCCTATCTGCGCTACCCGTGGGGCGCTACGGCCCCCTGGGGTAGGCAAACCCGCCAGTCATCGTGGGTATGCTGTACCGCACGCAGGCGTGCGTGCGGGTTGCCTACCTGCACCGCACGTAGGGCGCTACGGCCCCCAGGGGTACGCAAACCAAACGTTCGGTAATGTATGACTGCAAGAGCCACCTCTGGTACATTGTCGTATGCTCTGTTTGCGTTTTTCCGCTTCGCTCGGTGTCCTGACACAATAAATACAATTTTAGAGGTAAATTGTTTAGAGGTAAAAATTTTAGAGGTACTCGACACCACCTTTTTTAGAGGCAATTGACTTTAGAGGTAATGGACGTTTTAGAGGTACTTTGTTTAGAGGTAACGGGCCCCCGCCGCCTTCTCCCCCCTCTCTATCAGCCGAGCCTGTCAAGGAGCCGCCCAGAATGTACGTCCGTTTTCCTCGTATTCATTCGGCAAATTTACCGAAGCCGGGCGCCTGCGAGACTCTGGGTAGGCCAACCCGCAGTGCACGCATGCATCGCAGGCAAGATGTTGCCTACTGCCAGGCGCTATGAGAGCATGCGTGAGCTGGACTTTGCAGTTTCGTAACGACGCATGACGGACGGACGGACGTACTTTCAGGGTGATACCCAAGGC